AGACGGGTCTGCGCCATGCAGTGTCCCGGGACAGCGGCCCTATGGCCTACTCTTATATCGAATGCCAACTGCCAAGGGTTCTTATACATGCATGCCAATGTGTACATGGGAAGGCTGTTTTTCCGTCCCATCCGAATGACTATACGTTTTCCCTTACACCACTGACAAGGGGTAATGTATCTGATGAACTCTCTTCAGTTTCTTGGCCAATGCAGGGATGGAACACAGGGCCTTGCCAGGCCTATTACTGACAGGGAGAGACAACGCCAGGATCGAACCCCAGATCCAGAGCCTTGCATGATTTCGATTTTTTTGAAATAACCATACATTAATCCCGAAATTACCTAGGGCCTACTTTTTGTCGACTTGAAGTTCAAACCCCATTTCTCTTTCTCTAAATGTCAATATGTGCCCGACTGATCACTAAAAAATGTGTGGGGTACGTTCAATCAAATGATTTTGATGGAAACCTTAGGCCTATCCTCCCAAGTCTAACGGAAGCACATGAATGAATTAAATATTTCAAAAAAATAGGATCACTGGACATACATGTATGGACAGACAAATTATCACAATATATTGAACTAAAACCACATTCAGAGGATTCTGTAAAAACTTGCAATAGGCAGATTTAGCTCTTGCATAATGTATGTTTAAAAGCATTCAGGAGAAAGAATGTCTTTAAGCAATATTGAATTCTTCACTATTTTAGGAATTTCTAATTCTTCACATTTAGCTTTTATATGCCTTCCTAGGTGTTGTCGTATGGTAATAACAGACAGAGAAACTAGACGTCGTGGACTACATGTCAATTTGTCAAAACAGTCCTTTACGTACGGTGATGCAGCTCCTAATGCCTGACACAGAGAGTAAGACAGGCCACAATCGTACAAAAGCTTAACCATGTCTAATAAATATTCTTCTTTACCACGTGCCCGCAACACTATCACACTGAAAAACAAATTGGACACAAGAGAAGAGGACAATTTGCTGAAGTCACAGTTTTCTGAAATCAGATATTCTGCAGGAAATTTTAAAAATGGCCAACGCTTATGAGCAAAATGGATGGGTTGAAGACCTTCCGAGTCTGAGAGATTGATGTCTGATTTGGCACTTATCAATATTTTTAGGCACGTATTAGTTTGTTCATCTCTGTTTATTTTCCTAGGGAAACCTTCTGGTATGCTAGCTATCAAATGTGTGAGAGCAGTGCATCCATCTTTATAACGGTGGTTTACATCTGCCCCCATTTTCAAAAATAACTCCACCAATTCCACATTTCGGACCGTTAACGCAACACGAATATCTTCACATTCATCAAATGGTACACCAGCAGCTAGCAAAAATTTTACTAGAGAGAGACTGTTGGGTGAGGACGTTATGGCCAACTCCACTGAACGAGTAAAGCCTGCTTTAACTGTAAGATCCGCTCCGGCATCCAATAGCAATTTTAAGCAAGCAAATCGATCAGCACTTGTATTCTTCGAGGTCAGACAATGATGAAGAGCGTTTCGGAACATCATGGTATCTGTTAGATTTATATCCGTTCGATCGATCTTCTCAGAAAGTTCTAATTTCTGGTCTGAACTAACAGACGAAGATGAAGGATTTGTGGTAGCTTCTCCACCCACTTCAACTTTTTCACCACAAGCTGTATTTTTACTATGCATGGGAGCATCTTCGTTGTCTTCGACACCTTCAGATAAATCTTTAAACAATCCAGAAGTAGTCTCATCTTCAGATTTGTGGTTTTTGGTTCTGTTTTGGTTATTTTTTCTTTCATAACCTCTTTTCAGAATTTCTTTTACACAATCGAGATCACAAATATAGCAAGCAGCCATAAGCGGATTACCATCATAAATGTCATGATGGTATATATCAGCTCCAGCGTCTAACAATAGACGAACACATTTTAACCTGTTGCCAGAATTTTTGTTGTCCTTTACATGAAAGCAGTAGAGAAGGGCTGTTACTAGTGACCAGTCCTTATAATGAACATTAGCCCCGGCCTCCAACATTACAGAAACACATTCGTGGAATGCTGGTACCATCGCAACGTAGCCGTGAAATATATATTGTGGGGGGGAAGGGCGGAAACGGAAAAATATACAATGTTGACAGTATGTGCCAGGCATGAGGCTGCGCAGACCGAGCGGCAGCTCGGTAGGGAGTGTGTGGGAGGGTCACCCTCATAAAAAATTTTTTTTTTAAATTTCAGTTTTCTGTAAGCAGTGAAAACACTATTTTGGCATTGTTTGCGGGGTTAAACCTAAAAATCACATTATTGCACGATATTGTGAAACTAGCTGACGAAGACAGCTCGGGTGGCGATTGTTCGACTCAGGGATGCTCTGTCAGTATCTAACAAACGCATTTAGTTGGCGTACAACTTTTAAAAACCGAATGTCAGTATGGTATTTCTCACATAATTGGTTATCGCAAAAACAGAGTAAACTGAAAGCGAGTAATCTCGACTCAAACCTATAGTCTATAGCCTACTTACTACACTCGTCACTAGGCTTCCTATATTATTGTTTGTGGACGGTTTACTACTCAGTGATAAGCCTGCGCCGCAAAAAGAGGTCTCGCCTTTTATTATTACTATAATGACTTCCTCATGTGCGGCAGGTTAGTTTGCTTCTAAAAACACTGTTTTCCGTTCCAAAAAATACAAAAGTAATTTTCTACCAGATGACCATGGTTCTTTTCACCGAGACTAGATAATTTCTCTCGGTGTAAGGATATAGCTATGGATAAGTTCATACAAGGTCAATATATCCGCGGTCAGTGATATGTATGAACTGTCTTCACACATTTGGTTTATAATTAGCGATACACAGGTACAGTGGCAAGTGTTGTACTTCACAGACTGTTTACCTCCGCACGAAATCCCCGATTTGGGTACTTGTTAAAAGAAAAAGAAATAGTACCTGTGCGCATGCCAGTAAAAAAAAACCTAAGAGTTCGCGCATAAAAATGCCCGAACGTACCAGGCGCCAGGTCATCCAGACCTTGCCGCTGACATGAATGGTGAAATATCATCAAACGTAACATTGTCACACATTTCGTTCCAGTCAGAATTCTTATTAATACATCTCTTGACTGCTTCCAACCTGATTGCGTCATCGCCATGTTCTAAGGCAGCAAATATATCTTCATTATTTTGTATGACATCAAATATATCTTCTGTATCGTCCATATCGACATCTATACCTGAAACATATAATATAATTATGACATCTATACCTGAAACATATAATATAATTATCACCTTGTAACTCCTCTTATTCTTCTTTATTTGATCAGGGGAGCCACAGTTGTTAATAAGCAGGTAACAGAAGCCGCGGAGCGATTTCCGAAGTGGGGGGTCTGACAATAATAATTGAGGGACGAAGCCCTGAAAAAACGAAGCGTCGCTAGTGTATTGCTGGAGGCGCCGGAAGCTTCCGCCGTGGGGTTTGGGGCCCGATTAAGGGCCCCAGGAAAATTTTGAAACTTTGATGTGATTTTTTGCATTTTTAAGTAACCCAAAACCCTCCTGCTATCACAAAAGAAAAGCTGACCATGACTCACAACTCATGTTATCCATGACGAGAACAATGCCAGTTATAATTATTATACCGTCTTCATTAGCCCAGTTCGGAGCAAAACAGTAGGACGTTAAACCCCATTTCATTTCATTTTTATATAATTATTATAAATGTAGAATGGGACGAAATAATTTTTTTTTTTTTTTTTTAAAAGTATGGGGGGGGGGGGCTGAAGCCCCGCAGCTCCCCCTGTTCCGCGACCCCTGGGTAAGATGCTGGCTCGCTAGCCTGGTGGCTCGTGTGGCATCCCTGCATTAGCCAAGAATGTTCATCAGGATTTACCGATTTCGCCTTCGTCTTGCCCCACTGACAAGAGTTAACCAAATCGCCGATTTGGTTAGCCCTTGTCAGTGGTGCAAGACGGAGGCCCTGACAATGATACCTTGCCAGTTGGAATTCGATATAAGTGTAGGCCTTAGTTAGTACCAACTGCCCCCCGCATAATGTCCCTCATAATTGCACACTGTATGGCGTATGCCCGTCTCCATTAGCCCAGTCGGAGGAGAACATGCAGTAGGACGTTAAACTTCATTTCATTTCTTTGATGAAGTTAGTTCTCAGTGTGAACTGTCCAGTCTGTACGACCACGGAAAATGGCACTATCATAATCATAGACGATGGTTAGAAAGTAAGTCACTAGGCCTACATGTAAGTTCATACGATTAGCAAGTGACAGAAATCTTCTTATTGTGTATTGACTGTACCGAATCATCGGGCGTAGATTGCAAATACACTGAACAATAAATTACAACGAAATATCAAACTATACACAAATTACCAAACGTAGGCGTCGGGTGCCCGGCCCACACAGCCAGAATTTTCTCTATTTCAAAAGTTCAACTCACCACAGCGTTATGTGGTCTCAGCTAACCAAATATTTCTACGCCGTCATCAAGAATGTAGGGCGAAAGTTATTTTTAGTCTTTCTCTCCCTTTCCATTTTTCATGACGATTTTTGTTGACTTTTTGGTGTAGAATCGAAGAAAAGAGCTTGAAAATACATTTACTGACAGGTTTTGGTGAATATTCATGACTTTTGGGCAAGAGTTTGCCACGTATGTTGCTCCATCTATAGAATAAGGCTATTTTTTTTATTTTCTGGAGCTGTCAAGCCAGCAAGAGTGTTATTGTCCCTTTAATACGGAATAGGCCTATCATTAGTATCAAATTTAAAAAAAAAAAAAACTTTTATCAGTAAAAATAAAATGAATAGCAAGATAATACTGGCTATTAAAGAAAAATATTTTAAGCCACAAGAACAAGAAAGATCTAGATATACAACACTAGTATCCATAGTGATGTAAACAACATTTTATAACACGACCTTCACCTTAAACCGGAAATGTGGCACCGCTTGTCCAGACGCATTGTACCTATTAACACTCAATTATCGTTTCCATGTCTGGATGATGTGAGAAATACCGGAAAGATGGGGAAAGGGGGACATCAACCTGCTCATGTTTCAACTAAAAATTACGGTGTTTTTACGGAAGATGAAATAAGAAATCACAATAAACCAGATGATAAATGGCTTCAGATAGATGGTAAAGTTTATGACATTACAGAATGGGCGAAACGTCATCCAGGAGGTGCCAAAATTATCAGTCATTTTTCAGGACAGGACGCTACGGTAATAATTGAAATTTCTACTAATTTTAGGAAATTATTTAATTAAATATCACAATTCACATATTTGCACAAATAGAATAGGGGCCCTATTTTACATTATTAATTTGTTTGTATAATTTCTACTATCTTATACAGTAATAATGGGATATGATTTATTGAAGACCAAGTGTGAAGTATAGAATGTCATACTCTGATATTAGCCTATAGCCTACACAGGACGAAATGTGGTAGATCTATATCCACTCCAGTTATTTTATAATGAATGTTGTTAGTTAATCTGATCTTGTGATTAACACATATTAATACATTGTTTATACAATGACATTATTTATACAATGACATTACATGAAAGCCAATTGATAAGCACTTGCACTTCGCTTTAACTGTTAAAATCGCTGACAAAAGGGATGACATCAAGGCATGTTAATTAGCTCTCAATACTATCTTTTTTAGATTATTAGAAAAACAAATAAATATGTTGGATGTACATATATCTGGATAAAAAAATATTTCCCATTTGGTGTAAAGTTGGATTAAAATGAGTAAAAGACACCATTCTGTGTTACACAATGTCCAATGCGCAGTCACACCGTATGCTGTGACGTCAAAGTGAATTTACGCTGATTAATGGCCAGCAAGTTTTCCCAGAGATAAATTTACCCCTGGTTTATCAAAATTGGTTGTTATCTTACCGGGAAAAGATAGGCGTCTGATATCCAATATTTAAGACAAAATAAACATTTTACCATTGGTACATGGATTGTGTATTTGTGTATCATAATGCGTTTTCTGCACCGACTGGGCTAGTGAGAAAGAGCATACACCAACAGGACTAGTGAGAAAGAGCATACACCAACAGGACATCCAGGTTTACGATTGATTATAACTCAGAAGTTAATAATTTGAATTTGATCCAATTATAAACAGTACATGAATGAACAAAAGATGGACACAGACAGTCTAAAATATTTCCTTTCCATATGTATGTAGATGTGGCCGTTAATTTTTCCACACCAAGTTTCCTTGAATTTTTATAAACATCTTAAAGATATGCTTACATGTATATTACAGGATGCTTGGGTAGCGTTTCACGATGATAAAAAACTTGTTTCAAAATATCTTACACCACTGCTGATTGGAGAAGTTAAAAATCCCATAGAGGTAAGTTTCACCACCCAAACCCCCTTAATTCGAACCAAACACTAGTCATATCTTTAAATTTGTCTTATGAATGAAGTCCCTTTCTTCATTAGTCTAGGGGAGAGGGGTTGGATGGTCGAGTCAGCTGGCGTGGTTTTGATTCCTGGGTTGTACGTGACAAGGAGTAGGGTCACCTGTCCAGCCTCGTGGGTTTTCTCCAAGTCCTCCGGTTTCCTCCCACTGCTGAAGACCCTTTATGTCGCGCTGACGTTAAACCCATCTCTCTTTCTCTCTATAACCTCACCAGACATATTTTATGTTTTCATTGAGAAATGGAATCAGAACCTCAAAATATACGAATAGAGATTACAATACCAAAAAAAATCTATTAAACATACATTATGCAAGAGGTAAATCTGCCTATTGCAGGTCTTTCTTTAGGCCTGAAATGTTATTTAAACTATTAATTAGACATTTATTAACAAAACAAGACCATAATCAACTCTCGATGGCACCGGATACTCGCGATTTTAACTAGAATATACCAGTGCACTGTTTACCACTATGCACACATCTTGTCAAAACAATAAACAGTGATAATTTGGCTCAGAATAAAGTAATTTGGCTGAAATTTTCAATATTTTTTTTTTTTTTTAAATTTATTTTCGAATTATTATAGCAAGAATGACCAACTCTTCATAAAACTCTTAACTAATGTATCTATTTATTCTAACAAAATTATAATTCTAACTCTCGTGATTTTATTTTACAGACAGAATTAGATAAAGATTATCGTGAACTACGAGAGAAAATAGAATCTATGGGAATGTTCCGTGTTAATCCCTGGTTTTATATTGCTCAATTCATCAGTATTTTTTCATTTGAGATTTTATCGGTCTGGGTATTCTGGTATTACGGAGTTAACTGGAAAACGTTTCTACTATCTGGTGCATTCATGGCCACGGCTCAGGTAAATTTTACTAAAATATCGTTTTTTATACGCCCACATTTTCATGTGGACGTATATTGTCGTCGCCCCTGTCCGGACGTCTGTACATGTATGTCAGTCCGTCCGTATGTCCGTCTGTCCACAATTTGTTTGTGGATACTCTACAGGTCCCAATTTTTATCTGATTTTGACGAAACTTGAAATATAGGTCTATCTCCCAAAGATCTCAGTTCCTTTCGATATTGGCATGTATCGGACCATAACTTCGTGGATTATGGCCCCTGATTGTACGAAAAATCACGTTTTTAGCTTGTGTACACTCTAGAGGTCACAATTTTCATCTGATTTTGATGAAACTTGAAATGCATGTTTATAACCCAAGGATCTTGGTTCCTTCTGATATTCGCGTATATCGGATTGTAACTTCCTGAATTATGGCCCCTGATTGTACAAAAAATCATGTTTTTGGCTTGTGGTCCCTCTAGAGGTCACAATTATTATCCTATTCAAAAAAAACGTTCAAATATATCACCGTTACACCGTAATATATCACCGTTACACCGTAATATATCACCGTTACACCGTAATATATCACCATTACACCGTGATATATCACCGTTACACCGTAATATATAGCCATTACACCGTAATATATCACCGTTACATCGTAATATATCACCATTACACCGTAATATATCACCATTACACCGTAATATATAACCGTTACACCGTAATATATCACCGTTACACCGTAATATATCACCATTACACCGTAATATATCACCATTACACCGTAATATATCACCATTACACCGTAATATATCACCGTTACACCGTAATATATCACCATTACACCGTAATATATCACACCATTACACCGTAATATATCACCGTTACACCGTAATATATCACCATTACACCGTAATATATCACCATTACACTGTAATATATCACCGTTACACCGTAAAGGTGGTTGAGTTTGCATTTCCTGAAAATCGGACAAAAATTGCCAGACAAAATGACCGCCCTTGTACGCAAATAGTGTAAATATATGGTTTATCAAGGTTGTGGACCCACAATTTTGATCTGATTTTGATGAAACTTGAAATACATATTTATAACCCAAAGATCTTGGTTCCTTTCAATATTCGTGCATATCGTATCGTAACTTCCTGAATTATGGCCCTTCTTTGTACGAAAAGTCGCGTTTTTAGCTTGTGATCCCTCTAGAGCTTACAATTTTTATTCGATTTAAAAAAAAACGTATGAATATATCACTGTTACACCCTTATGATGGTTGAGCCCGAATTTCGTACAAATCGGACCAAAACTGCCGGACAAGATGGCTGCCCCTCGTACACAATTAGTGTAAATATATGGTATATCAATGTTGTGGACCCTCTAGAGGCCAGAATTTTGATGCGATTCTGATGAAACTTGAAATACATAACCCAAAGATCTTGGTTTCTTTCAATATTCACGCATATCGGATTGTAACATCCGGAATTATGGCCCTTGTATGAAAAATCGCGTATGTGGGCGTATCTTGCATGGCAACCGCTTGGTTTTGTGGATCATCATATCAATTCAGAGTTACGGTGGCTCAGTGAGTGAGATGTTGGTTCATTAGGATTTTCAGCAGTGGTTCCCAATGGGCATTTGTGCAGGGCCTTGCAAGGAACAACATATAGTCAATTGGATGGAAAACCATGTATCGAACCCAGGAGATACTAGTTAGAAAACCAGTACTGTAGTGGAAACTGTGATTGAATTGTTGGGAGTGTTAATATACCCTGGCTGAGTGAAGAATCTGGTTAATAGATGTATAATTGTTTGATTTATTTCTAGGCACAGTGGGGTTGGACACAACATGATTATGGTCATCTGTCAGTATTTAAGAGCCGTAAAGTAAACCACTGGTTTCATCATTTTACAATTGGTATCATGAAGGCAAGTGACTTGAATTATCTCCCCTTATCTATGTTTTGATCTATGGTTCAATTTTAGTTCATTAATTTGCTTGCACATAGGGGTCTTTAGTCGTGGGAGGACCTGGAGAAAACCCGCAAGGTTGGACAGGCAACCCTACTCCTTGTCTCTTACAACCAGGGAATCAAAACCATGCAAGTTGACTCCGGTTTCCTCCCACTACCAAAGCAAAGTTTTGTGATAACTATAATGTTAGTCCTGAAATGACCTAGTCTGCGTCGAATAGACGTTAAATTCCATGTCCTTTTCTCTCTCTCTGTTTTGTACTTTTATTTTTTTTTACCATGGCATCAAAAACAAAATGGCATCAAAAGCAACATGTGATGCCTGTAAATGAAACACATCAAGGGTAATAACTCTTTATTTGTCTTCACATGCAACACATCATAATGTCTAAATACAGTGCACCCTGTCACATCCGACCTCTGATCACTCCGGCACTCTGTTACATCCGACACCATTTTCATGTCCCGATTTATTTCCTTATTACTTCAGCCAAAAAATCTCTGGGTAATTCGACCTCTGTACGTTCCGGATTACGGCATCAATCAGCCGTCCAGTCATACGATTTCCATTGAATCGACACCGTATAATCCGGCCTTCAATCGGTGGGTGTGAAGCAAACACTTACCGATCAATTATCCGTGAGATTAAAACTGGATGGGTGTTAAGCCACAAAAGATTAACAAGCAATCACCAATCAATTATCTGTGAGATTAAAACTCGCTACCGTGGGTCTTTGTTGATTACTTTGATAATTTTAATCCCTTGTACAACAGTTGTGACAAATACTCAAGAATATCCACAAATATTCCTAGCACCCGTTGGAAACATTCGTTGTTGCATGCCGAATGAACCTGAATAACCTATAAGTTTATTCACTCTACGAATCTCTTCGAACCGTGTGACGATGCTCGATTCAATTCACAATCCGGAACGTCCCAAATTGACAGAATTGCAATCGAGTGACGCGGAATTCAGTCCTGTCACAGTTCTGTCAGTCCCTACGACGGAGGTGGTGTGAGTAGAATTGTGACGTAATTAAACGTGACAGACAGGTTTCTGCCGCATGCGTTGTCGCCCGAAGTACACATTTTTAAAGGGAATAACATTCTGGTGATACGAAGTTTTATTTTCGAAGCTACATTATAATAATACTTCCGGTTTTCGAAGTTACAATACTTCCGGTTTTGAGAAAACTGGGTATTCCGACACTCTGCGTAATCCGACATATTGTAACGATCCCGTACGATGTCGGATGTGACAGAGTGCACTGTACACATATCTATAACAAAACAAAATGTAACATAAGTCTTGTTTACTCTTTAGCTCTTGATGCACGTAATATATGTTGGCACCTATAGTTGTTAAGATGGAATTTAATTTGATTTTTTTCTCTTTTTAGGGAGCATCATCTCATTGGTGGAATTTCCGTCATTTTCAACATCATGCGAAACCCAACATTATTAAGAAAGATCCTGACGTACAGATGGCGTATCTATTTTTAATGGGGGACAAGATGCCAGTAGAATGGGGAAAGAAAAAGCGTGGCAACATGCCGTATCAATTACAGCATCAGTATTTCTTTCTTAGTAAGTAACTACAGTCAGCTGGTTAATAGAGGCTATGATAGTCAGCTGGTTAATAGAGGCTATGTTAGCCAGGATGCCTTGCTCCCGGGGAGATCAGAGAAAGTTCCTAAGGATTTCTTGATGGAGGGCCTGACAACTGTATAGGGGGTTTGGGTGGCTGAATGGTTAATGCGTGTAGATGAGTTCTGTCATTGAGTCAAGTGGCATGGTTTCGATTCCCCACTTTTACGTTTAAAATTTGTTCAGATCTGTCTTTCATCCTTCCATCACAATTGTGTTTCCGTAGCATATTTCTTACACCAGTGATTGTCAACCAGTGTGCTGCGAGATATTCCCTAGTTACAAGGTGTGCTGTTGGCAGTGATTGTCAGCCAGTGTGCTGCGAGATCTTCCTTAACCCTTAACCGGTCATTGTCAACTAAAGTCGACCACAGCAAGAACCTTTTTTATAAGCCGCATTTGAGTATTTAGTTTCGTATTTAATTGATATGGGCATGCATGCGTGTCAGACAGGAACTTGTCTTGTCTAGAGCATTGAGAAAAACATGTCTTTGTTCAACATTTTTTGACGAAAAACGTAATTTAACGGTATCGGGAACGTTAAAGACGCTCGAAGTGGTTGAAATACTTATGAATTATTCCGAATCGGATTATATCGATGACACCGATTCTGAAGACGATATTTTCTGATGAAAAGGATTTAGAATGATTTGCAAATTATAGATCAACTTAGCCCCAGCAACTTTTTTATTGGTGTCAAGAGTCTATCACTTATAATTATTAGGCAGTAGTCGATTGAAATAGGCATACAAAATATTTCACGTCAGCCTTTATTTAGCCTGACCACTTGACGTCATAACGTCAAAATGACGTCGGCCGGTTAAGGGCTAGTTACAAGGTGTGTTGTTGGCAGTGATTGCCAATCAGTGTGCTGCGAGATATTCCCTAGTTACAAGGTGTGTTGTTGGCAGATAAAGGTGGAGAACCACTCACTGTCTTACACTGTTCAAGATATCTTTATGAAAATTTTAACCACGCATCAACTAATAGGTTGAGATATTTCACAGATTTAATCATTGTAGAATTGATTTGATTTAATTTTTGGTATACAAGGATATTCATGGCCTATTCGTCTTGTTTGTAATCGTATTTATATTTTCAGTCGGACCTCCGCTACTGCTACCTCTGTACTTCCATTTTGAAAATTTATATTTTGTAATCAAACGTCGTGATTGGTGGGTAAGTAGAAATTTTTTATTTTACCCTCAAGAAGGACGTTAAACCCTATTTCATTTATTTTACTTAGAGATAGTGTGAGGTACATGAGATGAGATGAAAGATATATCAAGCATCTGCCATCTCCTGTGTGTTATGACACGATTGTCCAAGATCTGCTTTGTGCAGATACGTTCGGATATGAATCGATACGATCAACACGATTGCTACAACTGGCCTCAATATATGATAAAACCTGGTAGGATCACTGCAATTACTCCACGATTCGATACGACCGGCCTCAATATAAGATGAGACCTGGTAGGATCACTGCGATTACTCCAAGATTAAAACCATGATATCAATCAATCGTAGCACGAATCGTGATAGTGAGAATCTAGCATTAGGGATAATGTGAGCTACATTAAACGAGATGTAAAATCTATCAACAATCTGTCGTCTCAGGTGTTTTATAAAATGTCCATTTTCTTCTGGTACGTTTGATTTCTAAATCAAGTTGATTTATTATCCAACTGAAAAACAAAAACATTGTAGCCACAGTGGCTCAGTAAGTAAGTCACTGGCTCGCTAACCAGGTGGTCTCGGTTTTGTTCCTGATGTTTGCCGAGAAAGTTCCACAAGATTTTCTTTCGCTGTTTCAACTTGTCGGTGGCAATGATAATGTCTAGTTGTTCCTATGGAAGAAAAAAAATCAAGGGCCCATGTACACATTGGTGTGGACATAAAAAAACACCCATAGCACACTGTATGTCTTTAGTGCAGAAAAAAAACCCAATTTCATTTAACTAGCACAAAGATGTTTGAATCTGCTACATTTTGCCAATTGTAAAAATCTAAAAGTCCTGTTGAATTTTATAAAAATGTCCATCTTTGGACTTTAACTATGAATAAAAAACGGATAAATTGGGATGAAAGAAGTTCTATCCTGGTAATGATAATACTGAATTAATGCATAGTTTTATTTTTGCATATTTTAGGATTTGTTATGGACAATGGTATTTTTTTATCGAATACATTTAATGTTTACCTGGTTGCTTGGGGGATGGCTCACCTTTGGTTACTATATGTTTGCCAGGTAATTAAGTTACAATTTGTTTCTTGTCCTTCACATTTTAAATAATGTATGGGACTTGGAAAATGAGTTAGTCCTCCATATGCACTTCATACCTTATAGGGGGGTTGGATGGCCGAATGGTTAGCACGTGTGTTTTGTATCATAAGGTCTGTCATTGAGTCAACTAATGTGGTTTCGATTCCCCGATTGTACGTGACAAGGAGTAGGGTCACATGTCTAACCTCGTGGGTTTTCTCCGGGTCCTCCATTTTCCTCCCACTGCTAAAGACCCCTACGCGCAAGTAAATTATTGAAATAAAATTGAACCATATGTTAGTACCGAAGTGAAACCTGAAAACTCTTCTTCTAATTGAGGTAGATTGTTTAAACTTGATGTAGATGTAGGTGAATGTCTTGACTGATGAGCAGTTTCAGCTGCGTAGGTAATTTGATATTTCAATGCATTTACAGGCCCTAGGCTGTACAGAGCAGTGCACACTTACTTACGTCTGGCTCAAGGATCCATACTTTTGATTTGATATTGTTTATTTTTTGCAATGTCGATGTAGTTTGTCTTGTCCAGTGGTTAAGTGGGCAAGACGCTGGCTCGCTAGCCTGGAGGTCGCGTGTTCGATCCCTGCATTGGCCGAGAAAGTTCATCCTGATTTTCCAACGTGGTTACCCCTTGTCAGTGGTGCAGAACGGAGGGTCTGACAAGGATAGCTGTCTAGTCCTTCAGATGAAACGAAAAACTGAGGTCCCGTGTATACATTGGAATGCACATAAAAGACCCCTTGGCAGTTGGAATTCGATATAAGAGTAGGCGATAGTGCCGCTGCCCGGGCAAAATTTCCCTCATGGCATACTGTATGGCGTATACCCGTCTTCATTAGCCCAGTATAGGAGCAGAACAGTAGGACGTTAAACCCCATTTCATTTCATTTCATTGTCTTGCCCACAGGTTTGTCTTGTCCGTATTGTTTTGGGTGTAGTGTGGTCCTCCTGCACTTATTATCAGAACATGATAACATTGATTCTAATCAACTTGGTGTATAATATCATTATATCAATGATCATCAATTTCTGCTTAGGCTAAGCAAAAATAATTAATTTGATTTGGGGAGTGATAGAGAAACTGTGCTTATAATTGAGAATAATTGATGGGTTCATTATATCAATACATGGACGTTATTCAATATTGAGCATTATATAGATGCTCTATATAAAAAAACGTCTTCATTAGACCAGTTGGAACAGAACAGTAGAACGTTGAAGCCCATTTTATTACATTTCATTTCTATATAGAAATAAAATAGGAAAGTGAATGTTCCCATTATTCCCAAATTTCCGCAATATTTTCAATATTTCAAAATTTCCTCAATATTCCAAAATTTCCCAATATTCCAAAATTTCCCAAATATTTAATAATTTTGTCATTATTCCAAAATATACCCAAAATTGTATCTACAAATTTCAAGATGTGCGAAAGTCATGGGTAGGCAGGCGATCATGATAGGTCGTTTACATACGAGATGAAAATAATGGTTGAACAAATGGTGTAACTGAGTGTTTGTGGATATTTTCAGGTTTTTAGAGAGTCATTGGTTTGTTTGGGTAACACAAATGAGTCATATACCCAATGAGATAGATCGAGACCAGAATAAAGATTGGTTTAACATGCAGCTAGCATCAACATCCAATGTTGAAGCTGGATTATTTAATAATTGGTTCACGGGACATCTCAACTTCCAGATAGAACATCAGTAAGTCTCATGTCTTCATTCGTTCTATAAAATTATTACAGCAGTGGCTCAGAGAGTAAGACAGTGTTTTGTTAGCCTGGTGGTCTCTATCTTCCATAGAAGGCTTGATCTCACTTTAACTATGTACATCTTATCAAGGCCTTCACGTAATACCCTGTCACAACCTCTGATTGGACGCTACTGCTCACGTGTCTGTAGATAACATAGTTATAAGTTTGAGAACTGTGAAGTAAACAAGCAACGGCCAGATGTTTTGAAACTCGCAGTCGTTGCTTCAGGAACATTGGCGGTCTTGGGTGCGATTTCATTGTTGGCCTAGAAAGTTCATTGGTATTTTCCAGTGTTGTCCCCCCCGCTGACAAAAAGGGGACAAAGAACTGAGGTCCCTTGTACACATTGGCGTGCACGTAAAAAAAATAGTTGATAGTTGGAATTGGATATAAGAGTCGTTCGTAGTGCCACTGTTCCGGCAAAATTTTCCTCATAGCACACTGCATCAGTTAATTTCCTGTCAGGTTTTCGTAAATATTCATGATTTTGAGGCAGAAGGACAACAGGGTTGTCAGGTTGGTTATGGTGATATGTACCGCGAATAGTTACGTGTTTAGCATGCTACTTCAAGTTTGTGTATCTCCAAATTTTGGTGACCAACCTCATAATACAAATTGTGGTGCAAAGACATGACCATTTTTGTTTCTCTGTCTGTAGTGAAAAGCGTTTGGGGAAAAGTGGCGCTGGGCAAAGAGACAAAAAAACACATTGAAGTCAATGGGGAAATTAATGGTGGTCTGCCTCCATTACAGAGTTTAGAGTACCACCCCCTTCTTTTGACCATGACCTTCTAGCTTGATTGCATATTTCATTAATTCCCGTCATAGTCCGCACTTTTTTTTCCGTATGAAAATGAGGTTCTAGTCGCTTCCATGTTAGATATATGTCCTATTATGCAAACAGGCCCCGAGTTAACAAAGCATTCTCAGACTTGAGTTAAGAATTTACTCAAAATTGTTTGCCTTTTTTTAACTAAAATATAGCCCTTTTTAAAACTTTTGTTGTTTTAATGTATCAAATACAACAATTAGAAACTATGTACAAAGTTTTGTGTTTCTAGATCAAAGATATTTCTCATAAACAGTGATTAAAAGTTGAGTTTATTCTTAACTTAAGTTTGAGAATGCTTTTTGAACTCGGGGCCTGGAGAAGTGTAATGTGCAAATAACTATTATACTGTATTTTGTATTTTAACACCGCGATGTTGGTGTTGTGGAGCACTGGAAAATGCAAATTGTAAAAGTAAAAGTATTTTGAACTGCTACATATGCATTTTGGACCGTGAACATTGAAATAATAATGGCAATGTTATTCTTCCATACCCTTAGCGCAAGGAAACTATTGAAAAAAAAAAAAATCCCCCTCCTCCATCTTTTGTTGAAGCGTGTATTAAGAATGATATATAATTATTTTTCAGTTTATTTCCCACGATGCCTCGACATAACTATGAAAAGGTTCAACCATTAGTTAAATCTTTAGCTAAGAAACATGGTATAACTTACCTGGATAAGTCGTTGTTTACTTCATTCGCTGATGTTACCAGGTTAGTTCTAATTTACGTATCATATAGTTGAGCTGTTTTAGCAGCAGTTTCTGTATGTAATTTGGGGGGGAGGGGGGTGGATGGCCGAATGGTTAGCATGTGCGCGCTGTATCATAACGCCTGTCATTGAGTCAACTGGCGGGGTTTTGAATCCCCGGTTGTACGTGACAAGGAGTAGGGTCACCTGTCCAACCTCGTGGGTTTTCTCCGGTTTCCTCCCACTGCTAAAGACCCCTACGCGTAAGCAAATTATTGAAATAAAATTAAACCATATGTTAGTCACGAAATGACCTAGTTTGTGTTGAGTGGACGTTAAACCCCATTTCTCTTTCTCTCTCTGTATGGTAATTAATTAGTCTGTTAATTAATCAACACTGCTAGTGAAAGTAAACCCTACATTCAGTACCTGATCTCGATGGTCCTTTTTAAACTACACAACAGTAGGAACCCAATATTTTTCAATGACTCAGCGAATTTAAACAATTCGCCAACTATGGTTTGATACTAAACATTAAATACAAAGACACCAAGTTAAACAGCACAACTTCACCATACACGAGCTGTAGTGTATATTGACCATTCCGGTTGACCCCATCTTCAATAGAAGGCTTGATCTCGCTTTAACTGCATACATCTTATCAAGGCCTTCACGTAATACACTGCATATTTCGGCACTAATTTTTGTTGGGTACAAGCCCAACTTGTGTAATAATATTGCTAGAATTTTTGCTCTTGAAATAAGATGGCTTTATATTTCATTAATTAATATCTTTGGCAAGTTAGTAATTTCAAACATATTCACATATATAGTGTGCACTAAATCAACTTAGTCTGTAATTGACAGTTGACATATAAAAAAGAGCTCTTTATCGAAAGTGGAATTATTCTAATTGCATCATTTGATTTAAAGTAACCAATCATTTTGTTAATTACACAAGTTCAGGGCCATGATCACGCGTTATTGTGCATGATATTCATTTACCTTTAAAAGAAACCGGGGAACCCTGTAAGTTAGACTTGCATTAGATTCCGGAGATCGAGGGTACATCTGAGTTCCTAGACAGCCGAGAGGCTGGATAGGGTGGAGAAGTGGTTTTAGCTATATAGTATTGTAATTTGTGCTATGCTTGTATACCTGTATTCAGTTATATGCTATATAAAATGTAGAAGCGAACTATGCATTATTATTCCTGGTAAGACAAACGTCTTAAGAAACTGTAAGAAGTAAATACACAACGTGAAGCAGAAGTAAAGACAGCTAGAGACAAATTCTAGACGATCACAAGGCTACAGAAATATGTAGTAAGAAAAGATGCATGGGTCGTACGTAAGATGTGGCGACCGGTTTCCGCGTCCGCTCTCCACGTCAGACCGAAGGCCTATGGTGCTACATATTCCATTTGGTGCCATGCTGAAGTATCGACCTCTAGGGTAAGAAGTCACTTTAGAAGAGGAATACATATTTGAAGACGTTACGAAGAAAACCTGTACAATCCAGCAACAGAAAAAGTCTGGTGGAAAAAAATCTGGTGGAGATATTCGAAAAATTGGGTAAATACATTTTGTTTGGTAAATTAAATGTGTTAAATTTGTTTAAAGACCAAATAATATTAATTTAAAGTTAAAATCTGATTAGAATCTAAATATTTAAAATTTAACTGTAGGAAATACATTATAGTCATTCATAAGTTTTGATTGATAGGTGTATTAAACAATATAATATCACTGGTTAGGTGTGTATATTGATGACCTGTAGTAAATTTGTAGTAAAATTAAAGTTAAAGAGAAAGTTTAGGAAGTAGGTTTTAAGAAAAATGTTTTGATATAACTAAGGAATAATAATAATAAGGAAACGGAATAGGGAATAAAGTAAGGAACTAATGTTGTCTCCGGATCGCAGTGGGAAGACGGCAGATCTAAGGATGAAGTTGTGAGTGATTAACTCTAGTTTCCTAGTTGGCCGTACTTTCTACTGTGATTCGTTAATTTGTGTTTTTTGTTGTTTCGTATACTATATAATTTTGAGGCCCTTAGTCCAGGCCTTAGAATTGTTGTAATTTAACTTTTGATTAAAAAGTTAGGTTATGTTAAAAATCCCATATGGTTAATCTAGGGATGTTGGTTATAGTTTTCCTGGGAAAAAACTAAAATTAAAGGCTCGTTAAATTGTGAGATTATCACAAAGTCATTAATACGAGTTTTATAGGAGGTTAAAGTTAAGAATGCGACACTTTTTAGAAAAGTGTAGGTATACGGTAGATTTTGTCCGTATATAATTTTATGTATTTTAAATTTTTGCTTTAGAAACGTAATATTAACGTTTAATATATACTGCTAATTGCTTTAAGCTGTCGACATGAGATGATGAGAATGTGTAATTTGACATTAGGTCAGATTATTATAAACAATAGGTTCTAGCACTGTGTTAAATTTGACGTGTGTAAAAGTCGCGTGGCTTCAGTGGTTAGTGAATGAAATTATATGTGTGATTAAAAGCTAGGTGTATATTCTGATTGTCATGATTATATAAATATGGACTGTGTTCTGATTGAATGGAGCGTACAGCCATTTTCTCTTAACATAGTCGTAGATAAATGAAATGAAATGGGGTTTTGCATCAAACTGTAGGATGGAATGGAGTGTCATTCATATACTGATCATATTTGATTGACAGTTCTATTCTAGATAAATTAAAGTCTGGTATTGTCATAGGTGTGAGCGCAGCTTGTGTCAGTGTCAGTCTGATAGGAAGGTTTATAAAAAAACCCAAAAAAAAACGAAATACAAAATTGTAAATGATTAGGTCAAAAAGGTCACATTACTGACGGTGAAATACAAAATAACAGTGTAGGAATTCTAAAACAGAAACGGAAATTATAAAACATAAACGTAATTCTAAAATTGTCCATTACTCAGTTCACATCAAAGTTTATTATTACTTAAATAAAGTTTAATTTTCATTACAGTAAGATTTGCTAATACGTTTTCGAAATAATATATTAATAATAATGTTAGACTAATAGCAACATAAAGTTTTAAAAAAAAAATAGTAATAGTTAGTTCTTGGTCTGATGGCAATGACATGTTTGATTGACGGATAAAATTGTACAACCCAATCATACTTAGAAGAAAAAAAAAAGGTTTCAACTTGATACTATGGTAGCTGAAACAGACCAATACACATCCAAGAAGAAGAAATGGTTTACCAGTTTACCAAATTGACATTTCCTGAGACAGAATTTAAAGTGAAACCTGAACTTTATAAATATTACGTGATGTGTTATAGTGTTTTGAAATTAGGACACTTGAAGATTTAAAAAAGACAATTTGTGTTTTCTGTGTTTAGGCTTAGTGAATTTTCATAGAATATTACAGTGATGAACTTTTTGGAGAACTTTTGCATGCAACTTTTGATTATGTGTGTCTGTGTTTTCACAGTTTTGTTATATAGTATAGTATCATTGATATTTGCCTGTTGCATGAATAATTATAGTTTTTAGCACATAGAAGTTTTAAGAGTCTCCTACCTTTTCATTTAGCATAAATCTTGCAAGTGGGGGAGGTGATATATGTTGATTTTCTAGATTTCTGCTACCTTTATGAATAGTTATATAATTCTACAGATGTTGGTATGGTTATTGTAAAGGATTCAAGGGATCTTTTACCCAATACCGAGCAAAAAGTCTTAAAGGAAGGGACGAATGTAATAATATTGCTAGAATTTTTGCTCTTGAAATAAGATGGCTTTATATTTCATTAATTAATATCTTTGGCAAGTTAGTAATTTCAAACATATTCACATATATAGTGTGCACTAAATCAACTTAGTCTGTAATTGACAGTTGACATATAAAAAAGAGCTCTTTATCGAAAACATATATCAATTATTTACCACCAGAATTACACGTGAGTGGAATTATTCTAATTGCATCATTTGATTTAAAGTAACCAATCATTTTGTTAATTTCACAAGTTCAGGGCCATGATCACGCGTTATTGTGCATGATATTCATTTACCTTTAAAAGAAACCGGGGAACCCTGTAAGTTAGACTTGCATTAGATTCCGGAGATCGAGGGTACATCTGAGTTCCTAGACAGCCGAGAGGCTGGATAGGGTGGAGAAGTGGTTTTAGCTATATAGTATTGTAATTTGTGCTATGCTTGTATACCTGTATTCAGTTATATGCTATATAAAATGTAGAAGCGAACTATGCATTATTATTCCTGGTAAGACAAACGTCTTAAGAAACTGTAAGAAGTAAATACACAACGTGAAGCAGAAGTAAAGACAGCTAGAGACAAATTCTAGACGATCACAAGGCTACAGAAATATGTAGTAAGAAAAGATGCATGGGTCGTACGTAAGATGTGGCGACCGGTTTCCGCATCCGCTCTTCACGTCAGACCGAAGGCCTATGGTGCTACACTTGTGAGCCTATCGGATTCCTCGATCGTTGCGAATACCAAGTCTCGCCCTTTCAGGCTAAAATGTCTACCTGTGATAATCGAGTTGCAAAGTTCAATGTTCATTCAATGTCAAGGTTTCCATGGAGGTCGTGATGTCACAACCTCTGATTGGACGCTACTGCTCACGTGTCTGTAGATAACATAGCTATAAGTTCGGGAATTGTGAAGTAAACAAGCAACGTTGTGAAACTTGCAGTAGTTGCTTCCGGAACATGGTTGACCCGGGATAATTATCAGTATCAGTGGATTTAATTTATTGCTTGTATGACATTCTTGTTGAAATATAAGTATAATTCTCTATTTTAGATCATTACGGAAGTCTGGTAGATTATGGTATGATGCTTATTATGACCTGTAGAGGGCACCAGCTACAATTACCATGACAACAGACTAGGGAGAGTCTGTTTTTAGCATAACAACAGACCAGGAAGAGTCTATTTTTAGCATAACAACAGACCAGGGAGAGTCTATTTTTAGCATAATAACGTCAGTCAATCTATCTGCAAGTCGGTTGGGGAGATTGGCCGCTTGGGGAAGACACCCTAGTCAGGTTTGCGGTGGTCGTTCGGTTCAGGAGGTCTTAAATTCTCACACGTTGAGTTGGACACCAGTCTCCATCATCCTAGTTAAAAACTAGATAATGTAAAGGGAATTTGTTAAATTTCAGTCAAATTGATCCACTCTGAACCGATTATCCATTTGTTGATTCAAATCCAGTAAATATCGCAGCCTAGCGATGGCATCAAGAGTTGATTATAGTCTGGATAATTTAATTTATGTCTAATTAATTATTTAGATAACATTTCAGGCCGAAAGAAGAGACCTGCAATTGGTAGATTTAGCTCTCGCATAATGTATGTTTAACCCAGAATTTTCAATAGATGAATTTTCCATATAAAAACGACCATCCCATCCCCCACCCAAGTCTGAACCACTCCGCAACCCAGTCTGATCCCCTCCCCAGCCTGATTCCCTCCCCAAACGGTCTGACCTCCCCAACTGACATGCCAGTATGCAACACCAACTGACAAGAAGCTATTCTGTGATGATTTTATTTATATACATGTATCACTCATTAAAAAAAACATCTTAATATATAAACAATGTATGGTGATCACCATCTCAGTATATAAACAATGTATGGTGATCACCACCTCAGTATATAAACAATGTTTGGTGATCACCATCTCAGTATATAAACAATGTATGATGATCACCATCTCAATATATAAACAATGTATGGTGATCACCATCTCAATATATAAACAATGTATGGTGATCACCATCTCAGTATATAAACAATGTATGGTGATCACCATCTCAATGTATGGTGATCACCATCTCAATATATAAACAATATATGGTGATCACCATCTCAATATATAAACAATGTATGTGTATGGTGATCACCATCTCAATATATAAGAATGGTGATGCTTATGAATAACCATAGACTTGCCTGGTCATATATTGTCCATAAATATGAAACTATTGTCAATTAGAGATTCAATTTTAGGCTAGCCTTGATCATCATTACTACCATTGGTATGATAATAAACAAAGTCTCGATTTTCCATTTTTATGTTAAATAATCCATCACAAAACGAATTCAAATCCAGTAAATATCACTGGCTAGCGATAACATCAAGAGTTGATTATGGTTTGGATAAGTTAATTAATGTCTAATTAGTAATTTAGATAACATTTCAGGCCGAAAGAAAGATCCAAATAGGCAGATTTAGCTTCTGTATAATGTATATTTAATGTATATATTTAAGAAATCTTTGAGATGATGTTTAAACTTGTCATATACTTTAAGATAAGCAAAATATATCTAAAATTTGACCAACTGGCAGAATTTTGAAGTAAAAGCCCTGAGTTGGAGATTTTTCTACTTAAATAGGAGAGGCTAAAATATATATATGTGCCATGTTTTTTATAATTTACTACATCTTGAACATATCCATTCATTAGTTGCCATGTTTCAACTCCAAAATTTGGTTATAAATCCTTTTGTTATAATATAACGCAGCAATTTTATGGGACAGTGGCGGTCGCGGGTGTTGGCCAAGAAAGTTGATTGGGATTTTCTGGCGTGGTTTCCCCTTGTAAATGGTTTAAGACAGAGGGCCTTACATGGATAGCTGTCTAATGGTTCGGATTGTATGAAAAACCGAGGTCCCGTGTACACATTGGCATGCACGTAAAAAACCCTTGGCTATTGGAATTTGATGTAACAGGAAGGCCGTAGTGCCACTGCCTGGGCAAACGTTCCCTCATAGTACACTGCATGGCGTATGCCCATCTTCATTAGCGGTGTTGGAGGGTGTTAAATTTCCAGCTCACTTGTAGATGGTTTAAAGATGATTTAAACTGGAGGATATTGGATGATATCATTGCTGTCATGTAAAACAGACTGGACGATATTGGATGATATCATTGCTGTAGTTTTTGAATGGATATAAGCAGATGGGGATATTGGTTATATTTACAGTTGTTTCTGAATATTTTATTGTATATATTTTACTGAAGGTTGACACAAGACTTTTTAAAACCTCCATTCCATGCACTGTAATTAATAACTCTTGGCCCATTGCACCAGTATTATAAGAGTGATATAAATTTATGTCCAGTACTCGCTCACAGAGCCTTATTGTAGGTACAGTTAACCAGTGGTCAAACAAGCCATGTTGTTAACCTGGGGCCTATTTAACGAAATTTTAACTAAGATAAAATCCAAATTTTAGTAGGTACAGTTAACCAGTGCTCAAATGAGCCATATTGTAGGTAAAGTTAATAAGTTGCAGTGTAACTATATTTATTGCTCGATTGGTCTGATTTCTACTTTTATTTTAATTTGTTTGACATATATTATATTTATGTGTGTGAGTGCTCTTTAATTTAAAGGGCCATAAGAATGTTGTTATATTATATTTCAATATATAGACATAATGTCATCGGTTGCATTTTGTTAAAAGTCCTATTTTTATTTTTAAGCTAATTTTCATTTAACTTTCAGAATATAAAAGTAACCTTATTGTACTGTTTATAATAATAATAATAATGACTTTTATTTTCTGAGGGAACATATTTAGTACATGAGTTCTAATTTTCAACATGTCCCTCCTACTCTATAAAACTAGCAACTACACCAGTAATAATATTTAGTAAGTGCATATATATCATATTATATAAGCTTATAATAAAGAAATATCAAACAAACAAACAACAAAGAAAGGAAAAAAAAGGGCAAATAAACATACATTCAGAGAACGACTGTTCCTTAAGATTTATTTTAGCATCTTTTTTTTAATATTTATATTAACAATTGGCCTTTTTTGTCAAATACTTAAATTAAAAGATTTTAAGAATTCAGCATTGTGATAGGCTGAAAATTAAAATCCTGGTCGAAAATTTTAGCTTTTAGCAAATGAAACGGAAGCTTTCTTAGAATGTTATAAGACTTTATGAATAAAGCGCCAGGATATTTGTGTATTTGAAAGTAAATATAGGACTTAAATTTAATGATCACCTTGTTTAAAACATCACTATTTTATCTTCTACTGTAGCTGAGTTAGGGCCTGGTTACATGGAATGCGCTAGTCCTGATATGTGGGTCAGTCCTGATACCCCAGCCTGCACACTGAACCGTTTATATTAAATCAAGATGAAGGGTCATCCCATTTTTTTGTTTATATGAAAAGGCTAGCAGCCCGTGTAAGAAAGAGAGGGAGAGAAATGGGGTTTAACGTCCACTCGACACAAACTAGGTCATTTCGGGACTAACATAAATATGGTTTAATTTTATTTCAGTAATTCCCTTGCGCGTAGGGGTCTTTACCAGTGGGAGGAAACCAGAGGACCCGGAGAAAACCCACGAGGTTGGACAGGCGACCCTATTCCTTGTCACGTACAACCGAGGGGTCCGAAACCATGCCAGTTGACTCAATGACAGGCCTTATGATACAGCGCGCACGTGCTAACCATTCAGCCACCGCCCACCCCCACCCCATGTAAGAAGGCCCTAAAATGAACATTTCACACGCGTCACACTATGTTTATGCAAAATGCGAGCTGGTCCTTTTAATCAGGGATCCCGGGTTTCCAGGACTAGACTGCTTCATTATTAATACTCCTCTATAATCAATCAAGCTTTTTTTAAATAGAATGATATCATAAGTGATTTAACCTTTCCAATGTAAACAGACCCTTAGTTATCCTCTTAACATTCAAACAAAGAAAATGTATCGATGTCATGAATGGTTTAGCCCTTCCCATGTAAACAGGCCCTTAGTTATCATCTTAAACATAAGTTGAAATAGGTTGAACGCTCAAATAAACAAACAAAATAGAACTTTGTTGGAAATACTTCTAAACTGCTGATAATCGTCGTGGTTTTAATGTAAAATTTTAATGTGAAAACCAATATTGTTGTCCGACATGTTGTCTAACTAATCAATTTTTATACGTCCACATTCATAATGTGAACGTATTATGCCGTCGCCCCTGTCTGTGTGTGTGTGTGTGTGTGTATGTGTGTATGTGTGTGTGTGTGTGTGTGTGTGTGTGTGTGTGTGTCTGTGGTTCGCCTACAGGGCGCAATTCTTCATGGATTTTCTTCAAACTTGGTATACTTATTCCTTATACCCCAAGGAAGATCCCTATTGTTTTTGGTGCATGCCCGACCCCCCGGGGCAGAGCCACGCCCATTTCTAGTATTTGTTTGTTTGTCGTCTACAGGCCACATTTCTTAACTAATAATCTTGAAACTTTGCATACACATTCTTTGTACCCTAAGGAACATCCCTATCGTTTGGGGTGCATGCCCAACCCCCAGGGGCAGAGCCACGCCCATTTTCTTTTCGTGTGTCTTTGTGTCGCCTACAGGGCGCAATTCTTACTGGATTTTCTTCAAACTTGGTATACTTATTCCTTATACCCCAAGGAAGATCCCTATTGTTTTTGGTGCATGCCCGACCCCCAGGGGCAGAGCCACGCCCATTTCTAGTTATTCTTTAAGTGGCATTTAGCGATCAGGGAACAAATTAACAGAACACAGTTTTTATGGGATACAATCACTAGTTTATTCTAAAAGCACGACGTTTCCACAAGTATTCTCTTATCGTTATCAATCAAGCAAAAAAAAACAAAAAAAAAACGTCATGCTTTTAGAATAAAGACATCGATTGTTTTAAAATAAAAATTGTGTTCTGTTAATGTGAACGAAATGTTATACTGATAGCAGTCCTACAACCCAGTTTTATTTCACAGACCCTCAATGCAAACTGGACCATATCAAACAAAACAGGAATGTGGACGTATATTGCTGCGTTAGCGATGCTCTTGTTGTTGTCTACCATAAGACTGGTATTGTCTAACATGAGACTTAATGTATTATTGACAGTATTATTGTTAATGATCGTTTAAAATATTTTCTGCCCTTTATTATTTACTTCACTATGGTGTATATATTGTATTTTGTATGTTCAATGTCATGGTTTTTAAACATCTATCTATAAAATATTATTTATTTCCTATTATCTGAGTTTGTGGTTATTAAAACCCATGCTATTTTAGATTTATTGTTTGTGATTATCAAAGACAAGCCCACCCCCCCATTGGTATAATATTATCTAAGGCTATATAAGCCAATGTCCCTCGCCCACCCCACCATGTTAGATTTATTGTTTGTGGTTATTAAAGACCCCCCCCCCCCACACACACACACCCAAATTAATAAAAGATGACAATAGGGTGAATGATCACGCACCATTAAAAGCGTGCATCTTTATTATCCTGGTCATCACCGTTCCCAGGGAAGCCAGTGATTAGGACGTATAGCCTACTGCCCACGGGCGCAAGAAGGGGTCTCGATTGCCACAGATCCATCGCCTCTATTATACCGAATTAATCGGGTTCGAATAGTTAAAGTATATCCTACATACATACGAGCGTATCATAAGGTCTACCATTGAGTCAACTGGCATGGTTTTGGTTGCCCTGTTGTACTTGACAAAAAAGGGGTAGGGTCGCTAATTGTCCAACCCTAGGTTTTTCCCGGGTCCTCCGGTTTCCTTCCACTACTAAAATCCCTACGCGCAAGCGAATTATTGAAATAAAATTGAACCATGGGTTAGTCCCGAAATGACCTAGTTTGTGTCGAGTGGTAGTTAAACCCCATTTCTCTATCTTTTTAACCATAGCTTCATGCTGTATGGTATTAATATTTAAAATACAGATGTGACGTCACCCTTTGATGTTGGCGTACCATTATTTCAAATAATCGTACGGGCAACTTGCGGAGTGTCTGTATTTTGTATTGTTTAATGGTCGAGAGCGAGGCATTAAGTAATATATTGTAACAACAAGAGGACCGTCAGGTCCGAGTGTTTTTACAATATATTACGCAATAAAGGACAATATTGGTGCCAGTCATTATCACATGTGATGGAACTGGTTAAACACGTTCCAAATATTATTTTATCACAGTGATCATTGCTACAATAGATGCGTAATCAATGTTTCAACAATCGGAAGTGACGAACGCAAAAGGAAAACACGAGTTATCCCTCTATATAACTGACTGAAGTGACGGGTGATAACAGATACATGGGCTAATTTCTGCTCACTCATAATTCTTTCCAAGACCAAAAGTTGTTATATGAGACTGTAAGAGTATATCTGACAATTCAAAAATGTAATTGAATGTCATTAGATAAGAGAACACGAGAAAAATAGAAACAGTCCGTACATTCACGTGTGTTTATTCATTCTATACTTCAAAGGCAAATGAAATGAAATGGAGTTTAACGTCCTACTGTTCTGCCCCTAACCTGGGCTAATGAAGACGGGCATACGCCATACAGTGTGCTATGAGGGAAATTTTGCCCGGGCAGCAGCGCTACGGCCTACTCTTATATCGAATTCCAACTGCTAAGGGATCTTTTACGTGCACGCCAATGTGTACACGGGACCTCGGTTTTTCGTCCCACCCGAACAATTAGACAGCTGTCCTTGTCAGGCCCTCCATCCTGCATCACTGACAAGGGGGGGGGGGGCACCACGCCGGAAAATCTGGATGAACTTTCTCGGCCAATGCAGGGATAGAACACCCGACCTCCACGTCCTGCATCACTGACAAGGGGGAATCCGCCGGAAAATCTGGAAGAACTTTCTCGACCAATGCAGGGATCGAACACCCGACCTCCAGGCTGGCATAACATCCACTCGTTGCAAACTAAATCATTTCAATAATTCGTTTGCACGTAGGGGTCTTTAGCAGTGGATAGAAACTGGGGTATCTGGAGAAAACCCACAAGGTTGGACAAGCAATCCTACTCCCTTGTCATGTTTAAGCGGTGAATCGAAACCACACCACTTGAATCAATGTCAGACCTTGTGATTCCACGCGCACGTGTTAAACCACTAGACCACCCAATCCCCATGTATGTTGTTGTATATTGTATATATCGGTACGGGAAATTTGTTTTATAATAGGCCTATATAATAAATTAAATTGTTGTAGCCTAAGGTGTGTTTTTTTTTATCAGACTTTTTTGGCAGATAAAATATCCCAGTTGGCGGAAAAAAAATATGAACATTTTTTATATCCATATTGACGGAAAAGAATGAAATACAGTGTAAGCCCTGATTGCACGTATTCAAATGCGACCTGGAAAACTGAGACTACAACAACTTCCGAGGCGAAAAGTCGCTAATAGCGTGGTGTGTTAATTTCCTAATTTTTACTTTTCGAGTTGCATTTTGGCTTGGTATGCGTGTTGGCGCCTTCTTACTGACATCAATAAATACAAAAATATGACTAAGTCGAAAGTCTACAAGACGGTATACAAGCCAAAATGCAAGTCGAAAATAAAAAATTAGGAAAAAACGAGGGGCGCTATTATCGCTGTGTGTTATTTCTTAATTTCCTATTTTCGAGTTGATTTTGGCTTGTATAGCGTGTTGTCGCCTCACATTTTGTCGTAACTTCTACTTTTCGACTTTCGTGTTTTGAAGAGGCGAAAAGTATAAATTATGAATGGTAGTTATAGGCTTCCATACTGTAGAGGTTTATCCGATTTGGTTTAAACTTGAAATGTATGTTTATAACCCACAGATCTCTGTTCCTTTCAATATTCACGCACATCGGACCATATCTTCCTGAATGTTCACGCACATCGGACCATATCTTCCTGATTGTACAAAAAATCACGTTTTTAGCTTGTGGGCCCTATAGAGGTCACAATTTTTATCCGATTTAAAAAAAACGCTTGAATATATGGTTGAGTTCGAATTCCGTAAAAATCGGACCAAAACAGACGGACAAAATGGCCGCCCCTCGTTCTCAAATAGTGTCAAAATATTGTGTATCAGAGTTGTGGACCTTCTGGAGGTCACAATTTTCATCTAATTTTGATGAAACATGAAATGCATGTATTTAACCCAAATATATTGGTTCCTTTCAATTTTCGTACATATTGAATCCTTACTTCCTGAATTATGGCCCCTGATTGTACAAAAAATCATATTTTTAGCTCGTGTTCCCTCTAGAGGTCCCAATTATTATCCGATTTAAAAAAAACGTTCGAATATATCACCGTTACACCATAATTTTGAATTTCATGAAAATAGCCGCCACTCGTACGCAAATAGTCTAAACATCTGGTATAAAAAAGGTGTTCCTTCTAGAGATCACGATTTTGATGAAACTTGAAATTCAAGTTTATAACCCAAAGACCTCGGTTCCTTTCAATATACACGCATCTCGGATCGTAACTTCCTGAATTATGGCCCCTGATTGTACGAAGAATCGAATAAATCAAAGTTACAACGTAATTTTGTCTTGAGTTTGAATTTCATGATTGAAAAATCACGTTTTGGCTTGTGGTCCCTGTAGAGGTCACAATGTTTATCCGATTTAAAAAAAAACATGTGAATATATCACCATTACACACTAAGATCTTGGTTCCTTTTGATAATCGTGGATACGCGACCTGAACTTCCTGGATTATGGCCCCTGATTGTTCGAAAAATCGCAATTTTTAGCTTGCGGGTTCTACGGGTCAATGTTTTTTTCTGATTTTAAAAACCGTTTAAATACATCCCCATTCCACCATAAGGAAGGTTGAATTCAAATTTCGGGAAAATCGAAATGAAACTGACTGACAAAATGGATGCTCTTTGTTCGCAAATTGTGTAGAAGTGTGTAATACGAAGGTTGTGGACCCTCTAGAGTTCACACTTTTTATCCGATTTTGATGAAACATTAAAACATATCTTTATATCCCAAAGATCTCAGTCCCTTTTGTTATTTGCACATTTATAATAATAATAATAATAATAATAATAAAAACTTTATTTAATGAGGCAACGTATTTAGTTTGCAAAAAAAAAACCCAACAAAAAAACTAATCTTCCATAGGTCCCTCCTAAGCTACAAAGATATATATATACATGTAATATCAGGATAAATTCAAAATCATTTGAAATGCAATAGCATTTTAAAGTGGGAAGTTTGGAAAGTCACTCCCAAACTCCCAAACTACAAAACATATACATTATACTTGTAGAATATAGGAAGAACACTATAATTACACACAAAATAAGATAGAATGCAGTTGCAAGTTAAAAATAATAAATATGTCATCAGTTGAATTTTATGGTTCCTTCCGTGTGCAAAATAAATGAGTTTTCAGTTTAATCTTAAAATTTTCAACATTTTTACATTGCCCCTGATTGTCAAAAAAATCGCATTTGTTTTTAGCATGTTCTCTATCCATCTCTTGCAAAATGCGGGCGTATCCTGCCTGGCAGCCGCTGGTTTTAATACCAAGCAATCAATATATGGTGGTTTTGCCAAGGTTGGGATCTTGGGAACACAGCTGGAAATATTTTCTGTGTAATATAATAATAGAGGTATCAACATTGGTCGAGCCTGTTCCTCAACCCAACTTCAAATGAAATAAAATATGGCTTTTATATAAAATAAAATATATATTCATTTTGACAATAATACTTTCCCCAGATAAATATACACCACAATTTAATATATAATTTTTATTAACGAAGCAAAAACTCCATCAACTTTTACCTTTTGCATAAAAAGATTAAGACTTGATACAACACTGCTGAACTAAAACATTTCCCCGGTAATAAATATTGTACTGTAAGATATTTGAGTCAAGATTGTCACTCTTACACTTTTATGTCTTAATTTTTTTTCAAATTCTAACTGCCAAGGGTTCTTTAACATGCACGCTAACCTGTTAACATGTGATGGGTTTTACATAGGCTAAGCCTGTTCCCCAATCCCATTCAGACATCCAAAATAAAAATATTGTTTATAAAAAAAATATTTTTTCGTCCAATCTGAATGACTCAACACCGTTCCCTTGTCAGCCCTCCGTATTGCACCACTGACAAAGAGAAAACGCACTGGAAAACCACTTCCATATGTCAGGTTAGCCTGATATTAACGTTATGTTTTTCAGGGGTCAGTTCAGGTTGTTGTATATTACACGTTATGTTTTCAGAGGTCAGTTTAGATTGTTGTATATTACACCAGAATTCGCTGGTGCTGCTACAGGTGTTCTCACAGATCTTCAGAATAAAATAGGTAAAATCCTTCATTCTCATTTGATTAACAGTTCAAGCTTGGATCCAGTCAGGTAAAAAAAGAGGCCCATCACTAAATTTTAACTAACACTTATAGGTGGCGCTGGTTTGTTTGTTTGGTCTGCTTTGCACACACAACTTTTGGGCACACAACGATTGTACACATGACCTTTGGACACAGAACCACTACACACACGTCCTTTAAACACACAGCCATTACAAACGCATCCTTTGACGCATAACTTATTCTGTTAGTAAGTGCAGGAGGACCGCACCACATGCAAAACAAAATGGACAAGATAAACTACATCGACCTTGCAAGAAATAAACAACAAATATCAAATACAGTGAATGGATCCGGGAACCAGTTGAAGTTAAACATTAAAATCTATTTGACATGCAAGTAACCAAGTGACTGAACTAACATATTTTAGAGTAAAGATATTTCTATGTATTATGATGACATCGATCTATCGTACTATGTTCTGTAATATAAATGTTAGTGGTGTTCTATTTTGTTTATTTTTACAGAAGTCTGTACACTAAATGTCTTATTCTTGTTAATATAGCCATCATTTACATCCTGTAGTTTAGTCCACTCTATAAACTTATTATTACCCCATCCACCACCATCAGGTGTAAATGTATATGTAAATTGTTTTACTATAGATTTACTAACATCGTTTATATTTAATAGTTTTAGTGTAAAGCTAGCTTTAACAAATTTAACTGTTTCTGATCTCCTCAACACCAGGTAACATCCTAATCCCGATGTATTTGTTTTATGTATAACAAATACATACCATGGCATTCCTTGTATTATTACATCAGCAGCAGGGAAACCCACGTCTGTTTTCACTATCTGATTCAAACTAAAACTAGACGTCCAGGTACGTGACTCCATTGTTTCTACTTTACCTAGTAATTCACGTAAAGTTGTAACATCTATATCTACCATAGTATAATGGACATATCTTACTGTGGGTATATCTGAAGTGGTTGATCTGCTATCTTCTGTCAGTTTTTGTCTATTGGTTAAAGCATCTACAACTGGAACAGTAGATTTACCATTCAGGACGTCATTTATATATTTAACACTGGGCTGTAGCGAACTTTTGAATTGGATCATATCTCCATGTAATGTCTGTAACTTGTTACTTTCTTTGTCACAAATTTTATTCATTTTACATTTTATATCACTACCATGTTTTTTGACCCCTTCACAAACTCTTTGAACTTCTTTATCAACATTGTCACAGGCTATTTTAGCTTGGTTCTTGATATCAGATATTTGACTGGTTAAAGATTCACAGTGTTTGTTGACTTCATCAATCTTTCCTTCTAACTCCCGCTTTATAATGTTTAACTTTCCTCTCAGTTCTTGGTCTACATCAGTAAGATCTGTTTTTGAGTGAGTTGTATGATCCAATATAACACATTTACAACAAACAGCAACAGAACAATCACGACAATAAAATTCTACTTCTTTTGTCTTGTGCTTCCGACAGAAATGATTTTGTGTTTCACCTTTTGCTTGGATGTAAAAGTTTGTAGAAAACCCACTTGCACCTCCATCGGGTACTTGAATCTCTGTTCTACAATTAGGACAATTAAACTTGTTGAGATGTGAATGAGCTTTGATATAGTCGTCTATACATTGTTGACAAAACGTGTGAAAACATGGCAGTATTTTAGGTTTAGTGAAATCATCTAAACAGATACTACAGCAATGTGTATCAATGCCTGCGTCTGCCATCTTTACCGTACAATAGAGTTAAACACAGTCCATGTAAGAACTACAACAATTATATTTAGTAGTTATTGAGTTATCAGATAATGTCCAGATTCAACGGAGTTGATAATAAAACAGATTATATTTATATGGTCGTTTTATACAACAATTTACAGACACTTGTCCTCGATTTCACAGTTTCTATTAAAATTATAGCTATATTCATTGTTTAATACATACAACAGTTGAGATTACGGAAGTGACCACTTGTCTAAGATGAATTGGTTATAACTCATCATTACACACACACACACATATATATATATATATATATATATATATATATATATATATATATGATAGATATGATATATATATATATCACAGCCTTTGAAGAGGTCAAGAGGTCAAGACCTTGTACTTGTGATGTACAGTAGAATTTAACATGGAGTCCTTGAGTGATATTCACTGATTGAAAACAATAAAAACAAAGACAACATAAATTATATGAAAAACAGTCACTGGTTTTTATAGCACAACGTTTCCATATAGTTCTCTTAAAGTTTTCCACCACATTTGTCCTTGAAAATTGATATGGAAATATTTATAAATGACCAAACAAGTGATGCCAAGATTTTATTTCTTAGAATAATTTTAATCTTTTTCAGTGTTATTTAAAACAGAGATTTGTACAGAATAGACAAATAAATTGAAGAGAACAATATAATAATTATTGCTGGTTTAATTTCTAGTAATAAAAACATGCACATAATGGACTTTTATTAATAACAGTTGTGCATTATAAATTAGCAGAAATAAGTTAATAGATGGATGTATTTTTGTGTGTAAGGCCCTGTGGATGTTTATGACTGTACTAACCTATATATTATAATATTAAAATTATTTAATACAATCCAGTAGATGTCAGGGTGATGATTATAGTTGGTTTGAATTAGAGCTGATTGTATTGGAATCATGTCAGTCAGACCTAAATCTAGTCTATGTCAACCAGATCCCAATCAACTGTATACCAAGAGTTTCAGCCACTGTCAGCACATTAATTTAAAAAATTGATTCCGAAGGATGACAGTCCTCCCCGTCTAGTTAATACAACGGACAATCTCACCTCGGTCCAAAAAACAGAGACACATACCGATTTCCAAGGCATAGTCCAAACCTTGACTCTCATATACAGTGCCGGACTGGGCCACCTGTCCACCTTCTTCTGATTTGGTCTGAAATGCTTGGAAAATGGGTTTGCGGTTGTCAATTTTTAAATTTTCCTGGGGTAGACAATTTACTCGATTAGGTTCCGATTTGCTTCTAAACTTTAATTCATGATTAAATCATGAAATGGATAATCGAGACCACGTTTTTTATCTTATTGACTTTAGTAATGATGATCGAGGCTAGGCTGAAAATTCAATCGCTAATTTCTCGGTTCAGAGTGGATCAATTTTACTGAAATTTTCAGCAAATTCCCTTTACATTATCTAGTTTTTAACTATTATAGTGAGAACTGCCAGCTCTTTATCTAATATCCCATAATGTATGTTTAATAGTGTAAAACAAAGAATATTGGAGACAGGTGATTAGGGAAATATGAAATAGATATAAATGGGGGGTAATTAAGGTGGATTAAGATTCGTTAATATATAGCTGACTGAACTAAGTAATACGGTGTGGATTAGTACGACGTATTAAACATTTACTATTGGGTCGTAATTATCAATTGTGGGAATAATACATATTTATAAACGAATTTCACCCTACTACGAGTTCTTGGTGTGGAATTTTCCACAGAAATATTTATTTATGGCTGGGGATATGATATCTTTCGTATCTAAATTACCTCCTGCTTATAAATATGTACATAATATATCAACAACTCGGTCTATATAGAAGCAGGAGGTAATTTAGATAGGAAAGATATCATGATATCATATCCCTAGCTATAAATAAATATTTCCGTGTAAATTTCCACATCAAGAACTCGTTGATGACAGAGAATATAATTAATAACCCGCTGTATAGAGATGTATGATGCGGCCTAGTCTTATATGGAATTCCAATGGCCAAGTGTTCTTTTACGTGCACACCAATGTGTACATGTGACCTCGGTTTTTCGTACCATCCAAATGACTACGCTATCCCTTGCCAAGCCATCCATCCTGTACCTCTAACGTGAACTCCAGGTTAGCGGGCTATCTTACTCACTACTAGGGTTAGGGTAGGGTTAGGGTTATTTTGAGAAAGGACAAATATATTCGTAGCCATTATCTTGTAAATAGATTAAATAATTTCTTGAAAGTTCCAACCCAGGATTAACGTGTTCGCTTTAGTTCATATAATCTGTCATTGTGTCGACGATTCCCAGCTTGTAGGTGACAAGGATTAGGGTCGGCTTTCCAATCTCGTGGGGTTTTCCCAGGTCATCTGGTTTTCTCCCGATCCTAAGAATTATTGAAATAAAACTGAATGATGTTTTAGTCCGGAAGTGACCTAGTTTGTGTCGAATGAAGGTTAAATTCTTTCTGTGATGTATTATGTATTTTTTTTTTACGTGAGCATTCTACAGACTATCTGATCAATTTCAAATTTATATATAATTTTTATGTGGACGTATATTATGGAAGACCAAATGGAACAATATTCATGATTCTTGTATCTATATTCCAGTTTGAATATTTTAGACATGCACGCAACATTCTAAACTAATGATTCTTGTTTCTACATTCTTATGTCAACATTACATGCACAAAATCAACATTTTAAACCAAAAAAATGACTATGTTTCATTTTCGGCGTTTTATCGGTAACTTTTATATATCATTAAATATTAAAATTAAAAAATAATTTCTTAATTTTACACGACAAAGAAATCAATTCATTGGTTTCTGAAAGTATCTAAAAAAATCTGGAATTTGAACTCTTATGAAAATATTTTCTAAGTTTCAAAAAGTCTTGAAGTTAAAATCTTGAAGTGAAAATGTCCAGAAAAATATAATGAATTATCAACATTATTACACCAGAGGGCGTTAGCGTATGTGTACAACTTTGATACAGACTATAGATTAGAAATCAAAAGTAGACTTTTCCACGAGTAGAAGTGGGGCCCTGTTGTGTTTACAGTAATTAGTTGCATGAAACAGAAATTAAGCTCGAGATATAATAACAATACAAATAACTTCTATAATTTAAAGTAGCTAAGTCTCTAACTCAATATCATCCAAAATCTTCAACATTGAAAACACGATTTATTTGTCAAATTAAATCAACATTCATGTTGTGATCTTACCGGAAAAAGATGGGCTTTTGATATCCAATATTTAAGACAAAATAAACATTTTATCATTGGTACACGAATCGTGTACCATAATGCGCTCCAGCCCCAGTTGTATCAAGAGACTCGAGGGACGAGGCTAGACACATTGCACCAAATCAAACGGCGTATGTAGACTGGAATAACAAGACGCTAGAAATTCGCACTCGCTTGAGACTGCTGGCTTATTTCGCCGAACATAACTGATTTGAAATTGGAGTAAAAACAAAAACCATTGAATGTAAATCAGTTTATATACATTCATATTACAGTATTATATGCGCTGCGACCCACTTTTGTCAATTTTTAGGTCCCAAATGTTAGCGATTTAGCTCCTTTAAACAGCTAGAAAAATTAGGACAAAGGCCTTTCTTACATATTCGCTGTTATTTGTTTACTTTTTTATATGTTTACAAATTAGACCTACACGTGTTTCGTATATGGCAAAAATGGATGATAATGCTGTGTTTTAAATGGAATCTATTCACTGTTATTTGTTTACTTTTTCATATTAACTATAACTATATAGAATAGTGTTTGCAAATTAGATCTACGCGTGTTTCGAATGTGGCAAAAATGGATGATAATAAACAAATAACAACAGCGAATCTTCGCTAATATCTTTTAAAAGGGGGGGGGGGATAGAGGGCGGGAATAGTTAATGCATGCGCGTTGTATCATAAGGTCGATCACCGAGTCAACCGATGTGGTTTCAGTTCCCCGCTTGTACATGACAAGGAATAGGGTTGCCTATTCATACTTGACTCAGTGGCAGACTTTACGATTAATAGCCTACAGACAGGTTAAACCATTCAGTCACCCAGTCCTTTCTTGGACAAGAATATAATATTTGTTTTAAGGACCATGCATGTAATTTAATCGTATTATTTGGTCTTTCTTGTGATTATTTGTTAATTTTCTCTTTGCAGATGCCAGTAACCAACCAACAGAACCAAAATATCTGGAAGTTCTTAAACAGTATTTTGGTTATTCTAAATTCAGACCGTAAGTATAGTGAGAAGGATGTCAGAGACATCTCTCAGACTTCCATCATACCTTGGGTAGCTGTGTCCTGTCGTTGACTGAGACAGCTCTCAGACTGCCGTCTTACCTCGGGAAGCTGTATCCAGGTGTTGACTGATGCAACTCTTGGACTTTCTCCTTACCTTGGGTAGCTGTATCCAGGTGTTGACTGATGCAACTCTCGGACTTTCTCCTTACCTTGGGTAGCTGTATCCAGGTGTTGACTGAGACAGCTCTCAGACTGCCGTCTTACCTCGGGTAAGATGAATTTTGGTCTTCGGCTAACTCGTCGGATCTTCGCTTAACTAGGATAAAATTGGTCAATCCATTTAGATCCAACGTATGCCAAGTTTACTGTATATTAATTCAGTAAACAAGACTGAGAGAAATGTGACAGGGTTGAATTCTGTCCCACTTAGTTTTAATTCTATCAATTAACCAGAATTAAATTTGGAATTTTCAGGACTCGCCACTGAGCACCTCATATTTTTGCTTACAATATAACGTATTTGGATATATGGTTGGTACTAATGTAGATATATTTTTTAATTTGTATATATATTGTTAATATTATATACGTTATATAAATACATGTCTATATATGGTTTGTAATTTTAGAGCGGCCAATATACCTGCTTGTCTGCTTTTTGGATCGGCTCAAGAAAACACAGGAGCAGTAAAAGCAGAATTAATGAGGTAAGCTGGTCACAGTTTAAAATAGACACATATACGAGACTGTTCATCAATATAGTAAAGTCCAGCACTTGTAAATTTCTTTTCATACGCCCACATAGAAATGTGATTGTATATTGCCGTCACCACAGTCCGTCGGTCAGTTCA